GCGTTTGTCCTGCCTCGCCTGTCTCTCTATCGGGGCACCTCTACGCCAGGAGACACCAAGTGGCCCCACGTCCAAGGTCTTGCGTTGGCTGATCCGCAATACCTGGACAACGATCCTATCGAACTGCTTCTGGGCGCAGAGGTCTGCTCAACCATCCTCCAGGAAGGCCTGCGCAGAGGCGGACCGCAATCCCCCATCGCACAGAAAACTGTCTTCGGGTGGATCCTCTCCGGGGGCTGCAGCGCCGAATCACTTCACGGCCGTCCCAGCTCTCTACACTGTGCAGCTGATCACGACCTGATCCAGCTCGTGCAGACCTTCTGGGAACAGGAACGGGAGCCCTCGCCTCCTCCCCTCCTCTCCCCCGACAAAGAGATGTGTGAGACACTCTTCACCCGCACGGTTAGCCGCACGAGCAGCGGGCGCTACGTAGTGCGCCTGCCAGCCGAGCGACTCCTGGCCGCCATGGAGCGCAAATTCACCCGCGACGGAAGGTTCAGAGAACTGTACACGGCCTTCATGCAGGAATTCCTCGAGCTGCAACATATGTCAGCGGTCCATCCTTCCGACAAGGGCCAAGCACGATGCTACTTGCCGCACCACGGAGTGCTTCGCGACGGCCAGCCCGATAAGCTCCGGGTGGTCTTCAACGGTTCACAACGTACGAGGTCCGGTGAGTCCCTGAACACAAAATTACTAGTCGGAGCCAATCTCTTGCCATCACTCGCAGACGTGTTGCTCCGTTGGCGGTGGCACCGGTTCGCCTTCGTCACGGACATTGAGAAGATGTACCGGCAAATTCTCATCCACCCCGAAGACCGCGACCACCAACGAGTCTTGTGGCGAGCGGACCGCAAGGGGGACGTTCAAGAATTCCGCCTCAACACTGTGACCTACGGGCTCGCGTGCGCGCCATTTCTCACGATCCGTACGCTGCACCAGCTTGCCGAGGACGAGGGCGCGCGACACCCGCGAGGAGCCGCCGCGCTCCGCCACGATTGCTACGTGGACGACATCGTGACCGGAGCACACTCACTTCACGACGCGATCGCATTGCAGACGGAGCTGCGCGAGCTCTGTACGGCGGGCGGATTCCCGCTGAGAAAGTGGGCGGCAAGCCACTCCGAGATCCTCAGAGGAGTCCCGCCCAATCACCGGCTTCAGACGCCACCGCACTCGTGGAACAACCAAGGTCATGCCACCCTCGGCCTTCGCTGGCACCCGAAGAATGACCAGTTCTCCTTCGTCATTCGCCCCCTCACCGAAGTGGCACTCACGAAACGACGAGTTCTCGCCGAAACCGCTCGGCTCTTTGATCCACTGGGCTGGCTCGCCCCGGTGATCATCCGCGCAAAGATCCTTATCCAATCCGCCTGGCTGCAGCGGATTGATTGGGACACGCCGCTCCCCGCTGATGATGTGCTCCGCTGGAAGGGCCTTCTCGACGAGCTTCCTCTCTTCGATCAAATCCGGGTGAACCGTTGGCTCGGCTGCGACAGCGAGGACTCACAACTGGAGATGCACGGGTTCGCCGACGCATCCGAGCGGGGATACGCGGCCGTGGTGTACCTTCGCTCCTCGATTTCAAACGTCCCCTCGCTCCACTTACTGGCGGCCAAGAGCCGGGTCGCCCCTGTAAAACAGGTGTCCGTGCCACGACTTGAGCTCTGCGCTGCGGCACTGCTCGCCAACCTTGCGCAACATCTTCGCAGCACACTCGATCTCGGCGCGACTCCAGTGTATCTGTGGTCCGACTCCAGCGTGACACTGCATTGGATCCAGGGGCACGCCTCACGCTGGAAAACCTATGTGGCCAACCGCGC